ACTGGCTCCAGCAGGCTGCTCGCTGCTCCTCATGGCTCCGCTCCCGGCATGAGGGAGGGGAGTGAGGAGGGGGTCAAGGAGAAGGGAAGAAAGCTTCCTACACTACCGCTGCTCCCAGCAAAAATTCTCGGCTCCTATCGTCTGGAAACTGGCCTCCACTCCCGGCATGAGGGAGGGGAGTGAGGAGGGGGTCAAGGAGAAGGGAAGAAAGCTTCCTACACTACCGCTGCTCCCAGCAAAAATTCTCGGCTCCTATCGTCTGGAAACTGAGAGATTGGCTAATAGGAGCTAAGAGATTTTGCTGGGGAGGGGGGCGGGAACAGCATGAGAAGTCTCCCTCCTCCCTCCCCAGCCATCCAGAGCAGAGAGCAGCTGACTTTTAAAAGTGTGAACTGTTCTCTGCCTAAAGGTTCCAGTGAGGTGGCTGCGGGTTGGCTACAGAGCCCTTTTTAAATATTGGTTTCACATATGCTATCTTCCAGTCATTAGGTACAGAAGCTGATTTAAAGGATAGGTCACAAACCACAGTTAATAGTTCTTCAATTTCACATTTGAGTTCTTTCAGAATGCGAGTGAATGCCATCTGGCTCCAGTGACTTGTTACTGTTAAGTTTGTCAATTTGTTTCAAAACCTTTTCTAATGACCCCTTAATCTGGGACAATTCATCTTGATTTGTTAGTAATTCTGGTTAATAAATAAAATCACACTATTTTTTAAATATCAAGTGCTGCACAGAGTGATCTCAGCGTAGTGATCTCAGCATATATAAGCAAATGCTAGTCAGTCGACTAGTCGATTTTCCCCCCTCCCCCTGCTGCCTCTATCAGATAGAGGAGCAAAGTGGGGGAACAGGAGTACTTCAAAGCGGAAGCCCCGCACAGCTGAGCCCGGGATCAACTGTGCGACACTGCCGCTTTGGAACACCAAGGCAGTGTTCAAAGGAGCAGCGCCACATAGCTGATCCCCAGCTCAGCTATGCAGTGCTGCCACCTTGGCATTTCAAAGGGGCAGCCGCACAGCTGATATCCATGTCAGCTGTGTGGAGCTGTCCCTTCAAAACGACAAGGCGGCGTTCAAAGGGGCAGCGCCACACAGTTGGTCCCTGGCTCAGATGTGTGGCACTGCCATGCGAGGAGCCCAGGGTCAGCTGGGGACTCCCCAGCTGATCCCGAGCTCCAGCACGGCATTCCCGGAGAACCCAGGATCAGGTGGGGAGTCTCCAGCTGACCCCGGCTCCGCAAAGCATTTCAAATCAGCAGCGCAGAATGCATTTCGGGTCCCGCTGGGGACTCTTGTACATTTGAAAGGAGGAACGCGGAAGTGCCTATCGACTAATTGAGCAGTCCATGGAAATTACATCAACTACGTGTCTAGTCAATTAACTGCAATGTAACATCCTTAATACAGATCCCCCCCTGCCACCTATAGAGACACTGCCTCAGGCGTCCCCCGCCCTTCAGGGAACAGACAGTCAAGCCGCAGTTCACAGAGGATCCTTTATTGCTACACTACACTCCGCGCTGGCTGCGGGGGCACCTGCTGGTTGGGGCAGCAGCCTGGATCCTTCCAGCAGCTGGAATGGGTCGCATGATGCCCAGCAGGGTTGAGGAAGGGCCCCTCCAAGCCAGGCAGGGGGTCATGTGGAGAAGACACGGGGTGGCCCGAGCAGGGAGCCTGGCTGTGGTGCTTGGTGGGGATGGGCCTCGGGAGGGGGCTCAGGTAGGGTGGGGGCAGAGATCTGAGGTTTGCAAACGAGGCACATGACTCCTGAGCTGGAGGCTTACAGCCAGCAGTCGCTGCTGCTCTCGGTGGGGACCCCCGTCACCTTGAAATCATTCACTTGGAAGACCCAGCGCCCTGGAACCCCGACGTTGCTCGTCTGCCCGATGCGGAGGACAGCCTCCGTGCGGGAACCCGGGATGTTGTAGAAGTTTTTGTTGTCACCGCTGTTGAACCCGGCCTGACGGCGGAGACACGGGGAGCAAATGAAGTTAGTGCACTTGCCTGTCACTGGGGTAGTGGGGGCAGCACTGACTGAGCAGAGTCCCCATATCTTTCCATGTAGCCCAGCGCCCCCTGCTGAGGCCCCCCACCACTCCCTGCAGCCCAGCACCCCCTGCTGAGGCCCCACCCTAATCCCCACACTCCAGCGTCCGCTGCTGAGCACCCACCCTGCTCCCTGCAGCCCAATGCCCCCTGTTGGGTCCCCACCCTCACTTATAATGTTCCTTCATGCTACCTTCTCATGTGAGCTGTGTAACGGGACCTACCTGGGCGGGTTTACCCCCTAGGCCAGTGTTGGCGTTTCCGCCACTCGCTGTGCCTGTGGTCCACTGGATCATTCCATAGTTCAGCATGATGAAGGTGACTTGGCCGTCGTTTGCCAGCACGGCCTGGAACGTGTTCACCTGTAGCAGAGAGGGAGGAGACCCAGGTGAGGGGGACCATGGGAGCTGCATAGACATGGGAACCACAGGGTCCAGCACCCCGCTAGCCATTCCCCTGGAAAGCCCCTGATTGGTGACTATGGCAGTGAAGCCCAGCAGTTGCACAGTTTGTCTGGGGCTTTGTCTAGACTGCAGGCTTCTTTCGGAAGAAGCTTTTCTGGAAGAGATCTTCAGGAAAAACTTTGTCCGAAAGAGAGCGTCCACACTGCCAAAGAGCATCGAAAAAGCCATCTGATTTTCCACACTGAATGGACGCTCTCTCGCACATAAGCTGTGGTTACTACAGGCAGAGTGACCACCAGGGCACCTGTGCTTTTTCCTCTTTCCTCTTCTTCTAAAAGAACTCCCTCTTCCCCATCCACACACACCTTTTTCCAAAGAGCTCTTTCGCAAAAAGGCTTCTTCCTTGTAGAAAGAGGTTTACCGATGTTGGAAAAAACCATCTGCTCTTTTGATTTTCTTTCAAAAGAAGGCGACTGTAGAGTGGATGTAAGTGCAGTTTTTTCAGAAAAGCTCTGCAGTATAGACATAACCTGGGTCTAGCAGCCCCACCAGCTAGTCTCCCTCCTGCCTCTCCCCCCCCCCGGT